TTCGTCAATGGCGTATCTTAGTAGCACATCGAAAAAATATGATCTATTCATTTAAACTTCTTTTTCAAATAAAAAAAAAAAAAAAAAAAAAAAAAAAAAAGCTAATTAATTCGCATTTATCAAATACAATTCGAAATATTTTGAGATATTTCAAATTAATTTGAAATAAATTAAATAATAGAAAATATATTGTCTAACTCTTTATAGATAAGGTCGATAGTTCAATTATAGTTGGTGGTAATTAATTAATTAATTAATTATCATTGTAATCTATAGAAGCTTTTAAATATAAAACCTTGTAGCAGTAAAACCATGTGAAGTACATATTTGGCTAATAAAGAATTCTTAAAAGGAGTTCTGAACTGTAGAGAAGATGGGTACTGTATGTAATATGGGTCACAAACAATAATATTGCAGAAGGCTATGTGTGTGAATTTACGATTGGCAAGGTAGCACCAACAACTCTAAGGCAGTATTGAGATCTTGATTAGGAGAACAGCCACATGTAGTATACCAGAAGTGGTAAAAGAAGCAGTGAATACAGTAAGAGACTGTGGTAAAAGGATAGCTTTACCAAAAAAAAAGGAACACCTCTGGTGCTAGAAACAATAAAAACCGGTTAAGGAAGTCAGGAATATATGGCAAGCATCTTGGTGATATGAAAAGAAATTCAGCTAGTGGGTAATAGTTGCACAACCAGCATGGGAGTCATATGACGAAGTATAGCAGGCAGTGTTGGCATATGACCTGTTATGACCTCTATGACCTTTATGACCAGTCATAAGTCATAAGGTTATAAAAATGATGATATGACTTATGACCTTGGTCATAATCTTACCCAATAGAAATTACTTTTAGCTATCTATAAAAATTGTGATATATTATCGTATAAATACTATATCGTATATATATAAATAAAAGAACTTTAAATTTTATTTTTTTATATACAAGCTTTAACATATTTTATTTTAAGGATGTTTTTTATTTAATTTATAGTTAAACCAAAAGTTTATTGTATTAATTATAAAGCAGATTATTTATAATTTGCTATTAATATTCAAATTTAAATTTTAGAACAAAATAATATATATTGAAATTTATTTATATAATACTCGTCACTATACTAATTAATACTGTAAATATTTTATTTCCACCTTCCAAGACCAATTCTGCAGCGTTTTCTATTCTAGCAACCAATACAACTAGCATTCTCTACTTTAACGATTAATAAATTCCTGCTACTCTAATTACACTAACAATTTTCTACAAATTTATTTATTTGTTTTTACGATCAAATTTCATTCAGCTTTTTGATCAAATTTTATTTGTCCTTTTGATTCAATTTCATTTGCTCCTTTAATTCAATTTCATTCGTCTTTTTAGTCTAATTCCATAAATATTTCTTGTCGTAACAGAATTTGATAATGAATGCTATATATAGATATACGTTTTTTTTTAGCTTTTTTTTTTTTAGTTTTTTTTTGGTTTATTTTTCTTATTTTAGTTTTAAACTATACTTTCTTCGTCTCTCCAAACTTTAAATATTTATAGTTGTCTTTTTGGCTCAGATTTCAGTGTTCTATTTTAGCTAATCACTGAATCCATGTTTATGCAAGTATATTTATTTTAATAAAGAAGTAAGTTCCGATTCAAAAAATGATGGTGCTTCTAAAGAGGAAATAAAAAGTAGGTCTGGAGGCCATTTTGCTGTCTCATCATCGGCAAGATGTTTATTTCGCTTCCCAAAACCAAAATTCATATCCCAATCGCTTGCTAGCAAAATTTTATCATCCTGGTTTTCGGATTGGCTTTCTTGTTCTCCTAGCTCAATCCATTCATTAATTGTATTTTCTCACTGTTGCTCTTCTTCTGTAATTAAATTTTCATCTTCAAAATCCTAATTCGTCCAATTGCTAGATTTAGTAGTTGTTTTTTTTAATATTACCGGATTCAGTATTAGACCCAGGAGCTATTTTCTCAATATTACTAGGCCCAGTAATTGCTTCGTCGATATTACTTTTACTTTCATTGTCGCTTACTTGGTAATCCAAGTCAGAGATAGTTAATTCTTTAGAGGATTCATCATCTGATGATATAGGTGCTGCAATATGTAACTGGTGAATATGATTATCATATTCTTTTGAATTTTTGATTTTGCAAGTATGAAGAATATCACTTCGAATTTTGCTCATTGCCAAGACCTTATCTGGCTATAATATTAATTAGTATAGATAAAAGTAAATATAAATAATATTTATAATTAATATTTTAGTAATATGAAATTTTGAAGAATAAAAATAATTTATTAAATGTTTTTGTCTAGACAAATTTGTTTACAATTGCTAAATAGTATAAATCAAACCTTAAGCCAATTCCAATGACTAGTATGTAATAATCCCATAGATGACTACAAACGTTCTACAGATGCAGAGTTAACACAGATACCATAAATACGAATTGCTACTTGAGCTAATTCCGGGCCTACTCCTTCAGTTGATTCCCAAAAATCTACTAAATTGCCACCAAAATGCACAAATGACTTAGTATCATATGGATTAATTCCTCATTTATATTGTATTAATTCAGATAAAATAAAGATAGGTTTAGAATTAAACAATGCCTCATAATAATACTTAAGCCATTGCCCAATATGAGTCCAGGATAAATTTGCAATTGTAGTATCAAGTTTGGTAAGTTTATATTGAGGATGTAGTACAAAGGAAAGTAATAATAGTGGCTGCTCCCATTCATTCCAACGTGATTCAATTCGCCTTTTCATTTTTTTCTCCAAACTCAATATTTTGATGACATTCAAATATTTTCATCATATATCCAAAACAATAAAGAACTTCATATAATCGGGCAGTATCTCTTTGCAATTTGTTTAAAAAACTGCAAAGAGAATATAAAAGTTCTTGTAAATTAGCTAAAATTATTCAAAATTGAGTATCATTTATAATATCTGCAATATCATCTGGAAGTTTTCGAGTACCATTATGCAGTGTTGATCGATTATTTGCTAGCATAGATGGGATACTATTGGTTTGAGTTACATTATCACGATTTTCATTAAATTTAGCAGAGAGAAACTAATTATTAATTTTATATAATTCGCAATTTTAGCTATATACTTTGCTTATAAAATTACTTAAAGTAAAAAACGTACTTTAAGAGCAGACTTTGTTTTTAAAATAAAATGAAAACAAAAATAATAAGAATTCTATCTCGTATCTCCAGGTGTTATTAATGCGACAGGTTTTTTATAAATTCGCATTTGTTCATCTCTAAGATTTCCCATAAAAAAAACTGATTTACAAAAAAAGCTTACAATTCTTATTGCTTCTTTTGAAATTCTCTGATATTGAATAGATTCTTTAAAAACTTCACCAAATACTAAATTCATCTAATGGGCCATACACGGTAAAAAAACTTTAGAAAGATATTTTTTCGTAATTGTCGACTACAAAAAAAAAAAAACAAGAATTAGAATAAAAAAAAAAAAAAACTTTAAATCAAAATTACCATGCTGCTGCATATTTGCCAGCAGAATCCGAAACAAATGCCTTAATATTTATTTATTTTTTTTCTGCTTCAGTGATTAATTGCTCAATATGATTAATTACATTTTTTGTTTGTGATCTTTCTAGGCTA